TTTTTTTAAAAGAGTAACGAATGGAGTTTCTTGCTCGTTCTTCTCCACTCGAATCGACATTTTGGAACGAGCGCCTAGCTTCACTGACGGACAGACTGACAGACTATTATTTATTTCATATTTGTTGACGTTTCAAAAGTACCAAATTATGGTTTAATTGAAATAAATGCTTTTGAGTTTGAGTTTGAGCGAAAATTGTTTAAACGGCCTGTGTATGCTAAGTGTGCACAGAACAAGGGTCTCAGAATCGAAAAATAAATTTTTAGAAGAAGTGCTTAACAGGTTCTGCCAGAACACACGCCGTCTTCTCTTGAAGTAATATTACTCACACATATACTTAGTTAAAACTTTAATTTATAAACACCGAGTATTCATAAATAAATCTATAAAATCTGTCCTGAATGTGATTGTTTATTTTCTGTACCTGAAAATATAAACCTCTCAAATTAAGAGATTAACAAGTTTGAGATGAACGGCTCAAGGTACAAAAAATCGGAGGGCCACCGCCCTCCCCTGGGGGATAGATTGACTGCTGCCCCACCCTGAGCCCAAAGCTGGCTACGCCCATGTACCTAGCTTACCCTATTATATTTATTAAAGTAGATACTTTATGCCTTTCCCTTCGAGGACTTATAGGCGTGATGCTTTTTTGATTATCTCTATACTAATTTTAATTCCACACATCATAATAACATCACTACATGTGTTAAGGCTTAGTAATGCTAAATGGTGCGTGAATTAAGTACCTCCTAGCTTATTAATGAGGTAGGTACCTTAGTTTAGGTAAATTCGTGTATAAGTAAATATTAAATAACAAAGTTAATGTGTGCGGTATAAGTACCTCAGCCTCTATTGTCTTTATCAGTGGTGGGCAAACCATTTTCTTGTGAGATCCAAAACTTGAGAATATTTCAGAGGTCTACCCATTATCTATCAACCTTTACTGAGGTGCATGGCTCTTCTCAGACCGGATTAATATATTTTCACGGGCTTTCGTTTGGAATCCATATTATTGATAAATCAGCACTGAAGAAAGTTTTAAAAGTAAAGTAAATAAGTTGTTATTTGGCAATTTTACTCACCATAGATGGATGGTTGCACTGGAAATGTCCTGGTCATCTGCATGCACCGCAGTCGTGCGCGGTAAGCCCTCTTGCGGGCGGCTAAAGCTGCAGCTTCTCCATCACGGGCGTCTGAACTACCAGCACCCTGCTGTCTGCGCAGTGCCACCTTTGGGACAACAAAAGCTTGGAATATCTTTGGAATATTTACGTTCCTATAGCTCTATTAGGTAGATACTTAATGGAAAGAAAACATGAACATTATCTAATACGTAGAAAGGGAAACATCAATACCGCATGTGATTTTAAGTACCTACTAGTATTGGACACTAACAATCCGGCCGTCATGTGCCGAAACATATACCGGGAGGTAGGTGTTGATCAGTAGCACTGCATTAGGTAGGTAGGTAGGTAACCTACCCAATGTTTACGTCGCGGAGAACCTAACGGGTAACCGGGGCTCCGGCTCGACGTGCAGGAGAAGGAACGGGGTGGTTTTTAGTCAGTAAGAGTCTGACACTCCCTCCCGCCTCACCCAGACGGGAGCAGTCATTCGATGATTTTCCCCCCTTAAAAAAAACCAATGTTTACGGCCAGGGTCTCTGCATTTTTATATACATTTTAATTTTAATACAAGTATTAACTGATTCTTAATGGCTCAAATTTTGGCTGCAAGAATCGCATAGCTACTGTACTGTTAGCGTTCAGCATTTTTTTTGGCTGTAGAAAAGGCCCTGCGCAAACGAATGACAATCGGATTGGACTTTCGACCAAAGTTTTCGGTGTCACAGAAAACTTTTAAAAAGTTGAGAAGTCTCTCTTCTGCGCAAGATTTTTAGACTCGCAAGTCTTTTAATTAAAGTATAATATATAAGACACAAGCACTAGGTAGATGGTCGTTTTTTGTATGTTAACAACACAAATCGGCCCAATAACATGGATCTGGATCGCGGATTGTTGGTAATTAATACGTAGCGCACCTATCTATTGTACCGCTTAGTTTAAATTCAAATATGTTGTTATCTTATATCTACCCATTCAATTACAGCAAGACTCCCCGAGTTTCTATGTCCCCAAACTGTAACCGAAACTATGCACTAATTAGGCACTTTTAAACAGTGTTCAACGTTTTTTTACCTGTGCGGCCATGACACGTTGACGTTCCAGCACCAGCAGGCAGCCAGGGCACCGGCAGTCCCGCCAGCGACACAGTCTCTTGTGCCCTTTCAAGCACGAGATCACACCGTGATTACGGCATCTTGCGCACTTCGGAGTCCTCAGCGCTTTCCGAACCGTATTCTCTCCCTCACTAGAGGCTTCGTTTTGCATTTTGTTTACCGCAAACAGTTCTTAAGTGAATCACTACACTAACTGCCTAATTCATGTTCAAGCAAGCAGTTGCGCGCCCACGCATCACAGAGTTATTAATGAGACGCGACACAGAGTCATGTTGACGCTGAAATATCGTTTCAGAGATTGACGGCTGTAAAGTGGGCTTCAAGTTTTAAAAGTTCAGTGGTAGACATCGCCCCGCCCTATACGCCTTACGATTGGCGGAGCAGCCGATGTGGGCGGGCGGCACCGAACGTTTTTTGTATTGTAAAGTTTTATTTTTCGGAGCAAAATGATACATTAATCGCTTGTTGTGTAATATTGAAGTGTTTGTAGTGTGTATTTTTAACATTATCAAAGACACTTCTTCATAACGTAAACTGTAAAGAAGCAATAAACTTTTTTGTTTCCTATCGTTCTGAAGTTTCAAAGCTTTAATATCAAAGCAATTAGAAATCGTAGCATTGTAAACAACAGTTTCAATAGACATATTAATATCTACTTAGAACAGAATATAGGCACAATAACCTGTGAATAACTTGCCACAAATTTTGGTAATCTCTTACAGCTCTTGCTTTTGCTACCTTGTTAGCTTTTTAAATTCTAAAAATAAAAAGCTTTTCAAATATGAATGCATAATACGTGCCTAGGTAGGTAAGTAATCAAAAATATTTAGGTCAAATTACACCAGAGGCTAGAAGGCAACTGATACATCAGAGGCTTGATTTAAATTCGAATAGTTTGCCTAAATAAAAAATGATGAATATTACAAAATAAATTCATTGTTACTTGTCTTACCTACTTATTAATTTTCCAAAACAACCTATAGATATAGCTATATAGGAAAATTTATCTCATACTTACCTACTAAGATTAGAAACGAATAAATTGGTAAATATCTACAGAAAAATATTTGGATAACTGGTAAACAATAAAAATGAAACACGTAACAAATTAGTAGTCTATAGCAACTTGAAAATGATATTCCATCTCGAGCGGCGATTGCCAATTAGCTCTCGGATTTCAATTGTCCGTGTCCACGGCGCGTCTTCGGTTACTGAGACCCTTTGTATTATCTCCTTATTTATGGATTAAAAAATTACATGTATTTATCTAGCCCTCGGTCCAAAGAGTGGAGGAAGGTCTACACTTGTATACAAGGGCTAGTACAAGTTTTATATAACTGCTGGTTAGGCCTCACTATGTAATATTTAGCTCTAGCGTTTTTTTTACAAGTGATTATAGGTAAGTAAAAGTGAAATGTTACAAAATTTTCACGAGTACAACCGCCTCAGGATTGTTAAGTCATTGAGAACCTAAGAGGTCGACTTCAAAGTAGAAATTCGATGTTAATTAGCGTAGTGAGTCCGCTTCAAAAGGGTGTCGTAGTTCGCGAGAATAATCCGTAGTGCTATGCGGCCGATTTTTTTTGAGAGGAAAAACCATCCTATTCATTGTCCCACATTTGCTGAGGCGAGAGTGAGTCCAAGACTTACTGAGTAAAAACCAGAATGTTTCCAATTCTGCATAGGTTATGCCAGACCTATATTTCCATAAAACTAAAGCACGAACTACTATTTTTTTCAGATTAATATGTTCAAGCATATATAGCATTGATAACAAGACTGCGTAGTTATCCCAATGAAGCGTAAGTTAATAATAGCAGGGTACAAAGTATCTTTGTTTGCAGTAATTGTGGTTCGGAGCATAAAGCATCCTTTGCTCCTTGGCAAAACAAACGCACTTTGTTTATTGTACCAGCTACTGACACGCGTGCATTCAATTCATTATGCGGCTCACTGCCTTTGATTTTACAATATACAGAATTATATTTAACAAACCATGTCTTTTTATTGTAATTAACTTTTGCGTTCTAAAGGAGAGTGCATATTATATTTAGGTACTTTGCTTGGATGGGTAAGATACAGTTATCTATGTCTCTTTGTCTAAGATGTGATTTCTTAAAATAAGTATCTATATCTATCCATATCTGTCGCGGAGAACCTAACGGGTAACCGGGGCTCCGGCTCGACGTGCAGGCAGGAGAAGGAACGGGGTGGTTTTTAGTCAGTAAGAGTCTGACACTCCCTCCCGCCTCACCCAGGCGGGAGCAGTCATTCTATGATTTCCCCCATCAAAAAAGAAAAAAAAATACCTATCCATATCTACACACATATATGTAGATACGATGCAAATGCAGATACAGTGGCAATCAATACTACTACAACAACAATACTACTATATAATGAACATACTTACACTTATTCTTATTACATTTTCAACTTTATAGTTTTGATTTTAAAGTTGAAAACACCAAGGAAAAACTGGCCACTATACTTACTTGAAGTGTAAGGGGGAGTTGTGTAAGTCTCTGTGTAAAGGTACTCTGAGGTTTAAGGCAAATGCCAAAAAGTAAAACTATTTCATTATCATTTCTGGTGTAAAATATTTTATTTTAATAAAAATAATCATTGTAATCCATTTGTAAGTGCATATAACTTAAATAAGTACATAGGTATAATTAGATAAAATTAGAATAGTGCAGTCAATTAGACACAGAAAAAAAACAAAATCCATACCACATAAGTAAAATAATATAAGTAACTTTGTAAAAGCTATTCACTAAAATATTAATAGAATAATATTACCTAGACTAGACGTTAATTTATAATAATATACAATATGTACATATAAAAATTGCCTGCTTGTTCGCAGTATCACTTTAGTACCCTTCTAAAATAAAGTTACCTACTCTCAAATAATTCACGAATAGACGAACTTATTGCTTCCACCCGAAACTTAACCACCGACAGATACACCGAAGTATTTAGGTTTATCAGCTCCCCTTTATAACAAATTTTACTTTTAACAACAAATAAAACCTTTGTCACACAAGAAATTCGGCTTCAGACACTAATTTTTTTTCGGAAAAGCAAGCTTCAAGCCAGTTTTCACTTACAACCATTGCGCTATACGTTTTAAGACTATCTAGTTCAGTCTTTTCAATATTGCTTGGAACTACAATATGTGTGCAGTCTGTGGACGGAGTATCAAGAACATTGGCTCCGTACATCGAAGCTAGAATAGCGTTAAGTCCTTCCAGCTCCGTCACATGTATGGAGCAAGGACGCAAGAATGAGTGCGGATTGTTGTCCCCAAATATCTCCTTGTCTAAGTTCAGCATCTCTTGATGTGTGAGGTAGATTTGTACCTGTATTAAAAAATAATTATCGTCGGTGGGCCTGCCAAAACTGATATGTGCAAATGTTTAGTTTTTTTTTCTTAGCTATATGTCCTTCAAATCGGATAGCGCATCGATTACAAAAACAAATATGTGTTATTTCCCTCTAGAAACCGATTAGACCAATCTTATATGTGCACTTTCTGGCCATGACAAATTGGTTATGTGTTCGATTGGTTACATAGATTTATAAATATAACATAATGTCTGGCTATTGTCTACGGGTAGAATTTAGGATCCATCTTGACGGTATATTCATAAACATACTGTTGTTTCTTTTTTACTTATGTCTCTTTGCTTATGCAGAAAGAGACAACACATTATTGTCATTCTGGCCGTAATTTTTTGACGTCATCAAAAAAACCTAGTTGTGCCGAATTGGCCATCTTAGTCCCTGTTATCAGTGCATGTCAGTGGTACATCAGCTGTCAAAGCATTGGTCAACAATATTTTGTTACGAAAATTTGTAGAATTCCTGTTGTTTTTGTGCGTGGTAAACAAAGAAATTATTGGTTAGTGAGAAGAACTATGCCCGGGTGCAGTGTTATTGGATGTAGCACTAAAAATATTACTAAACCGGCAGGTGTAACATTAGATCGGTAAGTACTGTTATTTTTTATTAAAATATCTCTGTTTTTCAAACTATTCCAGTGTGGTTGCTGCAAATTGACTAAATACAATACTTTTCTAACTAATGCAGTGCTTATTTTCATTAATTTTAGTTGAAATACGTCTAAAACAATTTTCATTAAAAAATAGTGATGTACATGATTGTTCCCGTATCGATAATTTTATCGTACATAATAAATGCGTCAAAAGTAGAACAAAGAACTATACTAAATTCTGAATGATAAAGTGCATTAATTTGACATAATGACAAAATACAAAAAACATTAAGTACTCGTCAAAAATTTCATTTTATCGACAAAATTCCACCATCGTCAATACCTACGTAATGTAATAAATAATTAATACAATAGAGAATAATTTTTGTACAATATGAGATAAGGAATAATATTGTGGGAAATGCATTTTTGTCAAAATTGATTTTTTTATCAAATGCCGCTCGACGGATTCAAATGAAACAAACCAATGAAATATAACTTTAGGGTATTTTTAGAGTATTTATTAGAATGTGTCGAACTCTGCCGATAATTTTAATAATATTATAAATTTTCTTTTTAGTTTGTGCTTGAACCACGCAGAAGTTCTTGGCTGGAAATAATTAATGTGGGAAATATAGATACTAGAAGGAAACATATCTTTGTTTGTTAACTTTATTTTGAAGATTAATGTTTTAACCGAACAATAAATTAATAGTAAATCTACGTGATGGGGCCCTATCGCTACAAGCTCTATTGGTAAATCATAATGTAAACGATTCATTATGTGTTTTGTTATATTAGTTTTGGAAGCATTTTTTGAAGAGGTGCAAACTTAACATTTTATTTAACATTTATATTAAGTTCATAACTAACCGGGTTCTTGTACCTATATGTTTCTGTTTTCCTCCGCTATCTATCACTATCATTGTAATGTACAAACATTTTCGTTCAGAGCTTAGTACAGTACCTATAGAATCTATAGAAAAATCTATGTTCAATTGGATCAAGTAAGTTAAATTATACTATTTATGTTGCAGCCTCTAGCCAGATATGTGCATGAAAATGAACTTGGAACCAGTTCTGGAGTCTTCTCGAAAGATGGTTTTGCAGATTACATTACAGGGAAACACTACGAAAAATACGAAGATATTGTATATTATAAATCTTGATTTTATGAATACTTTGATACAGTTTTATTTTTCAACCCTCAAAAATTACTTCACCTTAAGTATATAAATATTGACCAGTTGATGGAAAATCCTTTTCATGAATTTCGATACATAAGTATCGTGAAAGTTATGATGTGATGTGATGTATAGGCACGATCGACTGGAGTGACAGTACACGCAGCAACTACTAAATATATTTCGCTAATATGTTGGTAATGTTTAGCAGCTACATAAAAATTAAATCCAGATGAATAAAAAAATAATAATATTTTATTGATAAGTCAATTAAAACCAATTCTAAAATATCGATATTTCTACAGTTTTAAAAGTTACATCCCTAGTTCTATCCGCCATTACGGGTGACCAAGTGAAGTTTATGTAGGCACGATTTTTTCCTAGTTGTTTCTTATCCATACTCTTATCATATCAGTGATTGGTTACAGTTATGTGACATAAAACGCACATGTCAGAAGTTGCAGCATCACATAGATAGTTTGGCAGATTTAATATCAACAGTTTTTGTTTAAAAATTTTTACCGTTTTCTAAGATAAATCCGATATGTGCACCAAAATGGGAAAATAAAATTATTGGGGATGAACAGTACATGTTATCATTTTCACTTTTATCTCAGTTATTTTTATCATAATTTTTGCCACCATACTGCATTTTTAATTTATTGCTAAGTCCATCAACTTTTCAGTGCAAGTGTAAAAAATAGTTTATTGGCTGCTCCTGAAAACTTGACTAAATGCACATAACAGTTTTGGCAAGCGCACCGACGTTATACAATTATGCATTTTAGTCACACCATGTAGAACGGTTAATTGATGTTCGGAAAAAAGTGGCTAATATTTAAATGAAGAGTTACTTACATCACCATCCATTTTATCGAACACCTTCCTCAGAGTTACCTCGTCAGTTGGTTCTGTGTAGCTGTCTCCGTAAGCATCATAATGTCTGGCGAGGGTTAGTCTCGTGGCAGGTTTGATGGCCAGCATATCTACCGGTGGAGGCTGCACGGGTGCTTCAGCCGAGGGCAGGGAACGTAACCAGGCGGTGCTCAGTACATCCAGGCGTTGTGATTCAATTACACTACGTACACGACTGGTTTGCTGACCCGCTACCCCGCACCATGTGTCCGGACCTTTACATACAACATGGTATTTACTCTCTTAGTAGGTACACCTTACGGTACATGTAAATTCATATTGATATAATAGTGTGGATCAGTCATAATCTAGTCAATTTATAGTTACTTTAACCGTTTATTGACTAAATGTAGGTAAACGGGACATATTCGTAGACTTTAAAACACATAATCGTTCTAACCGACACAACTCAGTTACCACAGCGCTTTACAATTAAACTGTCAAACACCAAGCGGTCACCGGTGACAGCAACCTATTGTTCTATAATTGTGTCTACAAAACCAGTACTCGACGAGTTAAAATGTTTGTAACTGCCATTGATTGATTGTATCGTATTTGCTTTACCAAAAATATTTACTGCTTAGGTTTGGATTAATAATAATTAAATGGACTGCACGGTTGGTGCGGTGGCTGGGCAACCGGCTGCCGTGCAACGTGTCGCGGATTCGATTCCCGCACGGGACAACACTTTGTGTGATCCACAAATTGTTGTTTCGGGTCTGGGTGTCATTGTGTATGTGAACTTGTGTGTTTGTAAAACGCACCCACGACACAGGAGAAAATCCTAGTGTGGGGCAACGTTAAAAATAAAAAATCAACTCACCGACATTAGCGACAACTTTCCCGCCGTGTGTTTCAATGATCTTGCAGAGTTCCTGTCGAGTACAGTCGACATCTTCGGACAGTATGCACAGCTTCCTTCCGAGAAGAGCCTTCGAAGTGGCTTCGACATCACCACGAGATCTGATCTGGAACTGCTCTGGGACCTTCGGCGCCTCTATCTTTCGCTTCGCTCGAGGTTTCACTTCGGCTATTTCATCCCCATTTATTTGATTGGTACTCAATTTTACTACCGGTCCTTTGTTCTATGAATAAGAATAAAATATTTTAGGTATGTACCTTGCGTATTTAGTATGTTATGTTACTTTAACTCGTCGAGTACCGGTTTTGTAGACACAATTATAGAACAATAGGTTGCGGTCACCGGTGACCGCTTGGTATTTGACAGTTTAATAAGAATATCAGTAAACTAAACTACTAAATAACTGCCTCGTTGGTCGAATGGTTGCAAGTGCGACTGCCGGGCAAGGGGTCTCGGGTTCGATTCCCAGGTCGGGCAAAGTATTACGGGGTTTTTCAAAAATTCTAAGTGGTAGCACGGAGTCTGGAATTGTGCCCGGTATATGGCAATAGGCTCACCCCCTATTACATGGGACTTACGACATAAATAGTGAATAGTAGTTGTTACATTGTACAGTGGCACTAAGTGCCGTAATGTGCAACTCTGCCTACCCATTCGAGAATAAAATAGATGTATATGAGAAATTCATGAAGTACTTACAGCACAAAGATTTTGGAACTCCATTAGTGTCATGACATCTTGTACGGGTTTATCGTCTCTTATTTTCGTGACGCGTGGAAACCTTAGCGTGTAGTCCGTACCAAAGCCTGATGCACGGACCAACTCCGACGCTCGAACCTATTTCAATACAAAATTAATTTTAACGTTCTGTTTTAAAGTCGAATTTCTATTAAAAGAATTCAATGTCATATCTACATTATTACATCCTTAAAAATACTATAACATTTTTAGACATTACCGTTAATACGACGGAATGTTCAGGTAGGATCCAGAAGTCAGGTTTATTTTTACTGAAACTCAAGTTAGATGGCGCTGGTGTCTGTCTAGAGGACGTCCAGTTGCGTTCCAATGTGGCACATAGGGTCTCTCGCTCGTCAAACGTAAAGCCAGTAGATACCCGACCTATTGATATCCAGCGCTCAGGCATTTTACCTGGTAAGTCAATAGAAAAATTTATAAAAATATCACAAAAAATTTTAATTCTTTATAAGTTTCTATAACGCTAAGGGGACCGTAGAGACGGACCCTTAATAAAAAAAAATGTCAGCATTACGTAATTTGCTTCATTATTACGTACACCTCCTGCTTTGAAATGAATAAACAAAAACCCATACTGTAAAATGATTCAGTAATCGAACTCTGAATCTCAACAAGGAACAGGACGCCTAGTCGGTAGAGCTACCTGCTCAATTTTCCGTACTAACAAAAAGATTTATTAGATCTTATAATTTAAAACCATAGTAATATTTTTAACTGAGTTCTTTTTAACTTTAACTTTACATCCCAAAGTTATAATAAGAATAATATATTTGTTTAGACTTCACTCAAAATAGGATTTTTAAATTACAATATTAAAGTTAAATTATGATAGACCATTAACGAGATAATAATACATCATTATGCTAAAAACTGCACAGAAAAAAAAGAGGACTAGTACTAATATTTGTCGCGATTTGCTTGAACTAGGTTTATGCAACCTGTGTTTCAAGTCATCACTTTATTACTATGCATATTAAATCTATACGGGTTTGTATTATAAATATAAATAATATAAAATTAGGAAATTATAAAACAAATTAAACAACATATAATAATATAAGAATCTTATTCCACTGCCTCGTTGGCCGAGTGGTCGTAAGGGGTCTTGGGTTCCATTGCTACTACGGAGTCTGGAATTGTACTCGGTCGGTATATGGCAATAGGCTCACTCCCTACTATATGGGACTCATAACATAAATAGTGAAAATTGGGTGTTACATTGTACAGTGGCATTAAATGCCGTAATATGCACCTCTGTTTATCCCTTCGGGGGACAAAAAGGCGTGAAGTTATGTTATGTTTAATAATCTTATTGTAATACTGTACTGTAAACTGTAATACTGTCAGTCTATTTTTAAGTACAGGCTAGTGTTTTATTTACCAGGGCTAGCTCCATCGCTACAGGCGACGTGGAAACTCTTGGCGCGACCTTGCCTCTTGTTCTCAGCCTCATCAGCCCCGATAATCACAAGGTCTAGGTCACTCATGGCACCTTCTGTATACTAAATAAAAACGTTTTGTTTTTTTACTCTTTAGTTAGCATCGTTCAAGTTGAGCATTTGCAAATTTTAAGTGTGGGAGAGCAATGCTTCGACATGAATGGGCCCGCTCGACCGGAGCAATACCACGGCCTCACAGAAGACCGACGTGGAACAACGTTGTGTTGTTTCGTCGTGTGAGCGAGGTTACCGGAGGCCCAATTACCCCCCCCC